ATAGATAAACGTTGCCACCACAATGCTTAAGGCTGGTTTCAGCACGCTGGATAGCTCCTGCAGGGACCTCCGCCCACAGGGGCCACTGTCAGGCTTCTGTCCAGCAGTCCCACTGCAGGACACAGGTCACCTGCACAACATGGAAAATGATACAACGGAACAGATATATCGCAGCATCCCAGTTTGCTATACATGATGACTTTTGGGAAATACAATGAAAAAGACGAATGTATAAACAATTAGTTGTCATGCGCATTCGGATGCGATTTTTGGCAGTCGATTCGTATGAATACAAGCTCGTAACACTGGTACCACTCGAATTTGGCTCTACGCAAGGAGTTTAAAACTTGGTGCGCAGTACACTAGCAGTGACTTATACGTAACAACGGATGGATAGCTATTTTTTTAATCCAAAGCCCCCTGGTGGCCGGCTGGAGGCAGAACAGAGATGGATGACATGCAAACAGGAACCAGTAACGTCACTATGGGTTCAAATTTTGGGTGGACAAACTTTTTACAAAAGCACAAACATTTAAAGAGCTGGCATGTACTAATGGAGAATTGGGAGACCTGGTCTATAGTTATCACTATTTTGAATTTAGTTAAATATGACTTGGAGATTGACTTAAGTGCATGAGCCTTTTTGAATGCTGAGATGATTCAGAGGCAACATCGGCAAAGTCTCCATCCGTTTCTTTTGGTTTGGCATTCTTCAAAAAAGCAGTTTACCTGGATGTAATCTGTGACACAATCCGTCAAAAGTGGGAGCTTCAAACCAGCTTTTAGGTAAGCTTGGTCTTTCGAAGCTAATATCCTTTTGTTGGGAGAACAAGGATACTGTTCTTTTCGCTAACATGTGGAAGTAATTGCGCCAAGCAGTTGCGCGGAGTTAGGAAGAAGGGGGTTGAGGCAAGGGCCCCGGGGCCCTGCTCCACTCCGAAACACCGTAAAGACCTTCTCCTATTCTTTGCCCCGAGACAGATAGGTGATTCACAAGGGCCCATTATTCCCTCTGTTACCCATCAGGGGCGCTTGGGGGTATAAGGAGGGTTAGGATAAAGAAAAAAAACATTAAAAAGACAGAAAAACATAAAAATAGTCGTGCTGACATGGACAATTGAAGCATGTGTGCAGAAAAAAGGGGTCTCATTAGTTTTTTTGCGACACAGATATGAAGAAAAAACATCTCAATGATGTACTTTATTTGAATTAAAGTAATGGGAGATGCAGTTCACAGTTTGTTTGTCAGTGTGTGCGTGTGTGTGTGTGTGTGTGTGTGTGTGGGGGGGGGGGGGGTGGGAAGAGTGTTTATACTATGGTGTTGGAGCGCCCTCTATGAGTTCACTTTGCCACATGTTCTGTCTGATGCAGAATAACTGTCTCCATTCACTATAGGCTGCGATGCAAAGCGCCAAAAACAACTAATAAGAGCATTTCTTTGATTTTTTAGTAGATCAAATCGATTTCTGAGCGCAGCGACAAAAAGCTGTACCCAAAACTCTACTAAAATCCTGCATTTGTCAACGTTTAATAAAAACAAAATATGTGGTCAAAACTTTTTAAAACTCATTTGACACTCAAGTTCTTTTATCTAAACGACTTGGGCAAAAATCTGGTACTATAGGTTGTGTTTTGAGGTGACTGTTGTCTGAATTTCCCCCACTAAACGACTTTTGAAAAGGGGTTCAGTGCTCCGAGAGAGTGGAGCGAGAGGGGGTTGTCGTTTCCTGAGAGTTATTTACTTTGAGCCAGATGATTGCTTTTTTTTTTTTTTTTTTCAGACGGGGGTTGAGGGGGGTGGACTGTAACATTGAATCAGTTACAGGTCGCAGTTGCTGGAGCGCAGTGGTGAGGGCGGTCTGAGGAGCGGACAGAGGGTCGCACATATGCTCTCACAGCGCAGCAGCTCTGAGGATTACAACCTCTGCAAAGGACCCTCACTGCGCCTTTTGGAGCGACCAATTCACAGTGGATATACTTACAAGAAAGGAATATAAAGAGGGGATTAGTAAAAGGTAACTGAAAGGTCGATTTCCAAAGTTTTCTGAGTCGTTTTGAAATATTTGTCAGCCACAGAAAGCGCGGATTTACGACAAATTGTTGACCTGAGGGAGGTATGTTAGTTTAACTGAATCCCTGATTAGTTTGATAGATTATTGGATCATAGCTATTCTTTTGGCTCAGTTGTGGAAAAGTCGCTGTGAGATTTTTTGTCTCATAAAATGGAAGTCCGTCACCGATGCAAGAAGTGCGAAACTTCTGCACCAGATAAGGCGTTTGAATGTTTGTTGCTGTGGTTTCGTGCACCATATGGCCTCACCGCCGGACTCTAAACGCGGGGATGTCGCTGCCTTTTGGATAAAAGCGCTCGATTTCAGCCTCACAGCTGGAGGTGTCACCTCGAAGACTGAAGGCGCATTGTGGGATGCTGTTTGGCATCTAATGGGAAACACATTGGAATTTGGCCATCGCATTGTTTTTTTTTTCTCGTCCGACCATGGAATGTGGGGGGATTAAAATGGAAAAACGCACTGGGAGCACTGGAATGAAGCGGAATGGGGATTCAGAACTACAGTGGACTCGGTCCAAACGCGAGGAAAAGAGAGCTGTGTGTTTTGGAGCCACTAAGCATTCTTTTTTTTTTTTTTTACCACCATACCCTGCTGTGTCACAAAAGGGTTTTGCTGAGGAATACTGCTTGTAGTCAGAATTTCTTAAATAATTAGACACTGAAAAAAACAAACAAATGCTGTTTCACTGCCACGCGTAAGATTGCCTTGCAGTGCCAGGGTTCTGTTTTGAACAAAAATCCATCTTTCGACGCCGAACGTTCCGAAAAGCTATGGTCAGATGTTGCGCGAGCGTATTGCGGCGCATCAGGATGCGCATTTAGGATCTGCCCGCTACAGTTGATGAGCAGACAAATGCCCGGACAGCCACTGCCACCCCAGACCTTTTTCACAGTGAACCGAGGAAAGGAAAAAAAAAAAGTCTCTTGCAGAAATCTCTCTGGACGAGGCGCACGCACGCGCGCGTCAAAATGCATTAGCCGTTTTGTCAACTGATTCCCACGCGAATCTGTACTTTTGCGCGGAGCGGGTGCGCTGATTACAGAGTTCACAGACCCAGTTTGCCAACGGATTATTTAGGTTGTTTCGGCTGTGCCAGAGCGGACAACCGCAGGAAAGTGCCAGAAAAGCCACAAGCTTTTCTGTTTAGGGACACTGGAGGAAAGAACAAAGACAAAAAAAACTTAAACGATCAAAAAGTAAACAGATAAAGAGGAGCTTATTTAAATGTACACTGTGCGTTGTTGTGTATGGGCTGGGTTTATGGGCTCTTAAGTGGCTCTCAAACGTGGCACCCATTAAATCCCCTCTAAAGACAGATAGACAAATAGTCCGATAGAGCAATGGTCTAATGGGTTCCAGAAGAGAGCAAAGAATGAAAGAACAAAAAAGAAAGAAAGAAAGAATCTAGTGAGGAGTTTTTGCATTCAGTAACATATGTTTTTTGGGAACAAAATACACATAAAGTCTTAAAGATCACACTCCAGCATTGGAAACACAATTACTTTAATGTTTTATTCCATCAGAACAACTTAACAAAAGCGCATCGGAAAGTTTCGGACAGCGGGTTCCGATGTCCGTTGTCCACTCCAAAATGCGGACTGTGTCGCCCTCTAGGGGCCGTGGCGCGCAGCCTTTAGGACCCACTACGCCCTTTCTCTTTTCCCTCCGCGCAACTGGATTCTCTGGATCCAGTAATCTTGTAGCCTCCACGCTATTCTGCTTGAAACCAGACACGTTAGAAAATAAGGTAGCATTAAAAAAAAAAAATGTGTTTCTCTTAAGGACCATTAGGAGTTGTGACTGGAGGATCAGGCTGAGTGTGACTGCATGAATTGAAGCCAGTTTATGGATTGATGAGACAGTGCCCCACTGGGTCAGGAGCATCCCAAAAGTGTGTTTATATTCTTCTCACGGTTGGGTTTTATTGTCCTCCACAGGCCGGGCCGGAGCGTCCGCAGTCATGGATGTGGTGAAGACGTGCGCTGTCTTTGCTGTCATCTTGATGCAGCTGTCCTCAGGTGAGCAGTCCAGAGAGCGTTTACCACTGATTTTTCATTCACATTTTCGGACTATTCCCTAATGGTAACTCATTTTTTTCTTCAGCTGCCTTTGGACTTTCACAACCCACCATCATTTCCAACCAGACGGAGTTTATCCTGCAGCCCGATTCCACCTTCAACATTAGCTGCACGGGGAAAAGAAGCTTAGTCTGGGTCGAGCCACTGCAGGAAAACACCTTCACTCTTCCAGGTTACCTAACATCCACTCTCTATATCTACAATGCAACAGTGGAGAACACCGGCTACTACACGTGCAAGTACCAACACCAGGAGGTGGAAACAGAGAGTCAAACAGAGAGAGACACAATCGAGGATGATGCGGAAATATACGTCTTTGTCCCAGGTAAATATCATGTTGGGGGAGTCTGGTGAAAAGAAGCATTGCAGTAAAAAAAACAAAAATGCTGTCACTTGATGCCGTCTGAATTCAATGTGCCATTGTAAGAGGGGACAAAATGTCATGTGTTCCTTTTGTTTTTAAAGTTTGTCTCCTTTCTTAATGTAAAAAACACATACTGTAGCAATTTTTGAGGTAAGTCTTGTGTCTGTGCTCCTAGATCCCCGTGCCCCGTTCGTCCCGGAGATGCCCGAGAACCTGGTCGTCCCCGTGACCTCGGATGAGGTGGTCATCCCGTGCCGTGCATCTCACCCCAACTATCACGTCATCCTGAGGAGCGTCCCCGGCGGAGAGGAGATGCTGGTCTTTAACGACAACAAGATTGGCTTTTTTGGATACCTCACCCCTGGACAGTACCAGTGCGAGATCACGGAGAATGGCCGGACATTCAAAAGTGAAATTTACACAGTGCTACCTGAAGGTAAGAACAGAACTATAAAACACTGTAACTACAACAGACAGTATTTATTTATTTATAATGTTTTTCATAGAAATGAAATTATGACAGCGGAATTGGGAATGACTCTGAGGGCACGATATAATTATACATCTAAAATAAATCATAACATCTTAGCTGAAAACATTCCTGACGTAAGTTTATCCCAAGAAGGCTCATATTGTGTTATTTGTAATGAAAGAATAGCTTAATAAGGCCCTGCTCTCTGTGTGTGTGTGTCAGCACTAATGCTCTAAGCCATCAGTCTTAGTTTTAAAAAGATCACTGTATTTAGGCCTGTAAGATTGCATTGCTGAAGTATATTCTGGTGGTCCCCCTGTAGCCCCCAAGGAGGCGAAGGACTTCAAGGTGGAAGTAAAGGCCAGTGAGGAGAGAGTGTCGGCTGGGCAACCGTTCAACATCACCTGTGTCAGTCCGCCTGGTTCGGACTACGCGCAGCAGTGGCTCCATCCAAAGAAACAGGCAATTTTCTCTCATTTCCCTTTTTTTTCATTTCTAAATTTCAAATAGGTTTGTCTGTGGTTTCGTCCACCCAGACGTATATTTCCACGTGGATTCCAGCCAGCAGCACTGAGCCTTGAAAAGCGAATAATGGCTGTGGATCCAAAATTTTAAGTGGTGAATTGAATATAGCTTAGAGAGCAAAGCCCACGGTGGTTGTGGAAGCATGTGTCGTTTGAAAGGCTCGGAGGGCAGTTCAAAAGACAGGAAATAAAAAGATCCTAAATCTTTGGAACTCAGTGACCACGAGTCGTGTCGGGTAGATGTCCGCACATGGCCAGCAAAAGATCTCCTGCTTTTGCTTCACTCTCAGTTTCTGACAGTTTGAAGTGGTTTACAATTGTTTACGCTCAGATTTATGTATTTATTTATTTCAATGTATGCTGCATATTGGTGCTTTTTCTTCTTAAGAATCCCGTAAGCCGTTTTTCCGGTCACAGGGAGGTAGGAACGCAGTGATCTTAACTGCTGAAATTTGGTCTCAGCAGCAATTTTGGGCCTTTTCAAAGGGTCTGTGATCCTGCTTTATCTCCGGTTGTTTACAGCAGTATCTGTTTGGTGGAAAAACACAGCATTCACATTGGAGCATCCCGCCAGTGGGATATTTATGTTTATCTATTTCAATTCCAACGAGCAGCTTCTTAAACCTTTGCTGTTCTGTGAATTTAACAGGCCGCGGAGGGCATTCTGACAAAGACGGTTTCTCCTGACTGGGTCATCTACACTCTGAGTGTCCCACAAGCCATCCCTGAGGACAGCGGCACCTACGAATGCTCCATCACACACAAACAGAGCGGAGAAGTCAGGGTCAGCTCTGTGGCTGTCACTGTTTTTGGTGAGTCGCCTCATCAACAAAATGTTACAGTTGTCTTGAACAGATTATCGCACAGGGTTATGACAATGTCAAGAAGAGCTCAAATCGACAACCTTTAATCCCATATTTTATAAATATCTTTAGTGATTTTATCATTGAAGTGAGTAACAAGCTTTGCACGTGTGGATTTGAGATGCTTTGAATAGTGTGTTGATGTCATTTTCTAGTGTCCAACCATAAAGCTAAAGATCTGGTTTCAGAATCAGTCACTGTATTTTATTAGATGGTTTTAACAGATGTGTGGCCAGCCCTCATTTCACCTCAGCCCGTTTGCCATCACTCTGACTCCTTTTAGGGGGGACTAAGTTAAAGACTGAGTTTGTTTCTTCGCCATCCACGATCATCTGGTTATTCGTATTTCACTCTCTGTGTCTCTCAGAGGAGGACTCCTTTCTCACCTTGGACCACAGTGGGATTCTAGCCACGGAATTTCTAGACATCTTCGAGGAGACGGAGTTCACCATCCTCATTTACGCGTACCCGGTGGCCCCCAAAGTGAATTGGCTGAGAGACGGAGAAGCCATAAAGGAGGGCTTCTACACCTTCACCACATCGAGCTATGTGGATGGACATCTGTGAGCATAACAATTATATTTCATTATGATTCTTAAATAAGTAGGATTTCTTCCTCTTTCTTTTTCTTCTAAGTTTGTAGTTTGTGAGAATGTCAACATTGGTCATTTTGAACTTTCAAGTCACCCAGTCATATGTAAAAAAAAAAAAAAAGGTGCCAAACCAGATTTAAGCCTCTTATTAAGCCTATTTTAAATAGTATCATGTGATCGTATGCAAGCTAATCAGCTAAAGTGAATATTAGTTCATTATGACTAATTTCCTTCCCACAGGTATCAGAGTATCCTGACGTTCCGACACCCCATGGAGAAAGACAACGGAAATTACACCATCTCAGTCATAAGTGGCTCCCGTACTGCTCAGTTCTCTTTTGTCCTTAAAGTGAGAGGTAAGACAGAACTAAAATAAATAAATAGATAGAAGTTGAAGATTTGCAATGAGACTGAGCTTCCTGTGGGCCTTCATGTCCAGCTCCCACTGGAGTGGTGAGCCCGCCGTCCTCGGCTCCCGTGCTGCTGCCGAGGGGGGGGGAGAAGGTGGTGCCCCTCCACACCCCTTTCGCGCTGACGTGCCGCGGTCAGGCCAGGCTGGCGTGGGAGACGCCGTTCCACGTGACCGAGCAGGCGCGGGAGGACAGCAGCGGCCTGTTCGTCACCACCGTCGCCGTGGACAGCGCCACGGCGATGCACACGGGCTACTACACCTGCTTTTACAGCAAAAACGCCACCGAGAACGCGGACGAAAGCAGCATCTACATCTACGTGCCAGGTAGGGGGCGGGCACAGCTCACTCTGCTCTCATTTGTGTTTGACTTGACTGTCTGGTTGTGAGACGCTCATCTCGCTGTTACACAGATCCAGATGTGCCTTTCGTGCCGTCGCTGGTGCCTTTCAGCAACCACGTCCTGACCAATAACAATGAGATGGAAATCCAGTGTCTGGTGTCTGATCCGAATGCAAATGTGACGCTGGTGAATGTCGAAACCCAGCAGCCCGTGCACTGTGTTTACGACAGCAAGAGGGGTGCCGTGGGTGTGTTTACCGCTGGAACCTACGTCTGCAAGGCCGTTATAAACGGAGAGGAGCACGAGAGCGGGGAATACATCGTCCACGGCTGGACAGGTGTGTTTTACGGCGTTTGCAAAGTTGCGACGCATCTCTCATCGGTGCTTTCTGTGGGCCGGTGGAACCACACGCTTCCGTCTTACGATCTCTCGTATCCCAGCCGACACGGCGCTGCAGGTTGAGCTGACAGCCAAAAGGATGGCTCTGCTGGTGGGAGACACGATCACAGTCTCCTGTCTGGCAAGAGGAGCCGAGATTTTGGAAGATCACTGGAAATACCCCGGAAAGATGGTGAGGACGCATGTCATTTTGAGAGGCACGGGTCATGATCCAAGGCCCTACTGTGCTTGATTGTTGTTGATTTACGCCACAAAGCGCCTGATGTTCTTCTTATCCGTTGACAGGCCAACCGCGGTCTCAAAAGCGTGCGTGATAATAAGAAGGATCAGGAAATTCTGTACACCCTGACGATCCCACAAGCATCAACTAAGGACAGCGGCATCTATTCTTGTTCTATCACCAACATAATGAGTAATGAAAGCCAGACGAAACAGCTAGCTATTCAAGTCTTCGGTACGGATCCCTATATCTGTCTACAGCAAATATCACATCATATCACACTGTTTTTATATATTCATTTATGGCGATAACTGATTGTTTGTCAACCTCTCTACTTTTCCGACAGCCAGTGAGTTTTTGTCCATCCAGCCGAAGTTCAGAGAATATGAATCCGCAGAGTTAGACGAAGTGCGGGAGTTCAGGGCTGAAATTAGCTCTTTCCCCGAAGCTCGGGTCACTTGGCTCAAAGACGGCAACCCACTCAACGATGTGACGGCCGAGATCTCCACCAGCCTGAGGCAGACAAGCGAGACCAGGTGAGCCTCCAGGGAGCACCATTCCCACACATCGTCCAGACCTCTAATTAGGATTTAGCACTTTTGCGAGCTTCTGTGGCTGTTTCGTCATTGCAGTTTCTGCTGTTGTTTATTTGTGCAGCTACATGAGCGTCCTCACCCTGATCCGGGCCAAGGAGGAGGACAGTGGGAACTACACCATGCGAGTGGAGAACAGAAACCAAAGCCGGGATGTTAGCCTAATCCTGGAAGTCAGAGGTCGGAGAAATAACTCATTCAAGCTTTTTATTTCCTTGTTATCTCTTTTCATATTACAACCTTTTTGCCTCAGAAACTATTTGGATTGCTTATATCCGATCTGTCTTCCGATGTTGCAGTGCCTGCAGCTATTGTGGACCTGATGGACATCCACCATGGCTCATCTAGTGGTCAGTCTGCGGTGTGCATTACCAGAGGGCAGCCCACCCCTGTAGTTGAGTGGTTCATCTGCAGAAACATCAAACAGTAAGCCCAGCCTTCGTTGTAACTAAAGTGTCCATAGGTTTAAAAAAAAAAAAATTTTGTCAGAAACAAGGCAGAAATTGATGTAGTTGTTTGTCTTCTCTTGCACCCATCCAGTTGTGCCAATGACTCGTCTTCGTGGTTGCCCCTCCCCGTCAACTCCACAGAGATCACAATGGAGTCGCACTTCGATGAAGAGCTTAACTTGGAAAGCGAGGTCATGTTTGGTCATCTGGAAAGCACAGTGGCAGTACGCTGCCAGGCCAGAAATGAAATGGCCACTGTCTCCAGGGAGGTCAAACTGGTGTCTAATGGTAAGGACACAGACACACGTACACAAATCCCATCCTCTGGAACAACTACCACTGTAATTTCACTCAGCTTTGTGTGGACATTACCTGCCGGTCTGCCTTTATGAGTTTTCTGAGGTCCTCCTAATCTAACACTTAATACATTTTGAAAGGAACAGTCAATGCTACAGTTGTTTCCAGCCAACAAGTTTGCAGTGAGACAGTTGATAGTGGGCTATCAGGGAGGGACTGCTATTAAGAGAGATAAAAAAGGGAAACCACATATCTCCAGGTCATTTGGGTCTTCCAGATGAGCTTTAAAATCCTTTTCTCTGACCCCCACCAACCCTTCCACCCCCTCCAGTACCAGACCTCCACCCCCATTTCCATGTTATCTTTCCATGTTATCTTCTCTTCCTGCCTGTTGGGTTAGTTATCTGGACACCCCATGGATCCAGCCGTCTTTTACACCTGATACAGATATTTTCTTATGCAATACAAACAATGTCACTCCATGAAAGCCTCCATGTGATCAATGTGGTGTCTAATGTATGCGACCACTGACTTTCCTCCCAAACAGGCCCTCACCCTGAGCTGACTGTAGCTGCAGCTGTACTGGTGCTCCTGGTCATTGTCATCATCTCACTCATTGTCTTGGTTGTTATCTGGAAACAGGTACTATTTTAATCATTTGCCACTTACTTCCACGCTGCATCCTCCTGTCCATTTATTCACTCGTTTCCTTTTTTTTCTGCATCAGTTCAGATTAAGTTTATATTTCCCAATGTTTCACCTACATCACTCTTCACGTTTCCTGATCTGTTGGCTTGCACAGCATGTATTTTGGGAAACTAAATCAATAACAGTGGATTGTGGTGTTCTTTGTTTTCAGAAACCACGATATGAGATTCGCTGGAGGGTCATAGAGTCTGTGAGCCCTGATGGCCATGAGTATATCTATGTGGATCCAATGCAGTTGCCCTACGACTCAAGATGGGAGTTTCCTCGGGACAGACTTGTGCTTGGTGAGCTGACTACCCTTTAAAATGTGCTAATGTTGTTGACATTCCCTGCAGAGATGTTCCAACCAGGTAAAGCCACTCTTTTTTTAAGGGAGCCTGTGATAAGATAACTAAAATGGCCATAAGGTTTTGCCTGTGGGGTTTCGTTTGACTGAATGATCAAGGGGGGATCAACCGTCGCAGATGAGAAAACAGAATTAGATGAGTTTTCTCACCCTGGATAACCGACTCCCTGCCTTCCTTGCAATTCCCAGGTCGTATCCTGGGCTCTGGAGCCTTTGGGAAGGTGGTCGAGGGCACTGCCTATGGCCTCAGCCGTTCTCAGCCGGTCATGAAAGTGGCGGTGAAAATGCTGAAACGTGAGTTTGACACACTAAAACTGGCAAGACGGTTAAGCCATGCTGCTTCCCATCATTGCTACCTTGTTTTCATCATGTATAAACATCACAAGCTAGTGGGAGGGGTGAATCTGTTTGTAGTTTCTCTTTTTTACATTTATCTGTTGAATTTTTTAGACATTAATTGGAACCGCTTGAGCATTTCAGACATTCTAAGAACCTAAGTTGAAGTTAACTGGTTTTTCTGTTCACAGCTATTTGTGACATATTCACTAGTACCACTTTATCAAATTGCTAAACCAAACTAGAAATGTGGCTGTATCAGCACATCGTCTACCTCCTCTTTTTATTAGTCGCTCACCTCGATAGCTGTTATAAGCATCATAACTACAGAGGAAAAATGCAATTGAAAGATAAATCCAAAGATAATTCTCAATGATAACAAACCAAGATCAAACCACCACTTCCACCAATCAGATGAAAGAGGTTTCTTTGTTGATTTGTTAGTTTTTCGCTCGGTGTAGTGATAGTCATGGTTGATCCTCCCTCTTCCAGCCACGGCCCGTTCCAGTGAAAAACAGGCCTTGATGTCTGAACTGAAGATCATGACTCATCTCGGACCCCATCTCAACATCGTAAACCTCCTGGGAGCGTGCACCAAGTCAGGTAAAAAGTCAAACCCAGAAAAGCAACAGAAATAAGCAGATATGCGTTCTATTGGATTACTTTACGATAAGACTGTCGTTGGTTCTTTCACAGAATATATCCACCTCTTTAAAAATATACACATATTCACATGCGCACACAGACACAGATTTGGCTGCTGCAGACTTTTGTAACTCTAACAGCCTCCCAATGGGCGTGGTATTTTAATAGGCTTTTTATGGGAAAGTGGAGGCTTGTCTTCTTGACTGTGCTTTTAGCCTTTATGAGCCTCTGATAAGATTAGCCTGCAGACTGACGCCGGTGTACGACCCTATCTGCTCTGCTGTTCCCAGGCCCTATCTACATTATCACCGAGTACTGCTTCTACGGCGACCTGGTCAACTATCTGCACAAGAACAGGGAGAGCTTCGTCAGCCTGAGCCCAGAGAAAAACAAGAAAGAGCTGGATATTTTCGGCATCAACCCCGCAGACGAGAGCAGCAGGAGGTACATCACGCAATCTTTGCTTCTTAAGTCATCACATTCAATGGACCAAACATCATATGGGTGGAGAATCATAAGAAAAAGAAGAAAAAAAACGCGCACACACACACAGATTTGCTTTCAGTCTCAAACAGCCAATTTGGAGCAATTGTCTCAAACAAACTTATTATCCCTCAGCTCCTAATCTGTAACTCAATCACCATTTTCTCTCCAGTCTTCTCCTAATCAGATTGAAGTCTGGAGGGGTCTCAGCTTTCAGTCTAATTTGATAGCCGTGGAGGTACCTGTTAATTGTGTCTGCACAACGGTTTGTTGTGAAGCGACTGCCTGTCCTCTCCCTCTGAGAGGCTCAGCTGGGCTGATGGATGACTCAGAGTGACCACACCCCAATATGACCATAACATGATTTAATCTTGGCCACCATTTGAGCTTCAACCGCATCTTCCCCTGGCCTCAGCCTGAGGGACTGAGAGGACAGATGCTGACATAGTGCCCTGAACGAGACCGAATCAGATATGCTGAATGTATTTTTTAATAATTTGTCCCACAACCTGCCATCACTAACGGCATTCCTCTCCTTTCTTTGTTTACAGTTATGTGATCCTATCTTTTGAGAGCAAAGGAGATTACATGGACATGAAGCAGGCGGACAACACTCAGTATGTGCCCATGCTGGAGATGAGCAATCCTTCCAAGTACTCTGATATCCAGAGGTCTAACTATGACCACCCACCTTCACAGAAAGACTCAAGCGGTACGCACTGTGGCTCTCCCTCTTGTCCTTTTTCCCATCTCATGCACTCTCCTCTCCAGTGTTATTGGTCTTTGCTTGCTTGGCCTCTGTGTTTGGTTTGAGTCATTGTCGGTTGAGGGGTACACCCTTGTCAGAATTTAGTACTGGCACCGGCCTATAATTACACAGAGAAGGTAATTGTAGCACGCCCGTAATAATGCCCGGTTTTTACCCTGCTATTAGTAAAAGCCAGGTTTAAGCAGGGAGTACTATATTTACACGGGCCGCCTCATTGTGTGTGTGTGTGTGTGTTTTCCCAACCAGAATCTGAAATGGACAACCTGCTGTCCGACGACTTGAACGAAGGCCTCACAACCACCGACCTGCTCAGCTTTACGTACCAGGTGGCCAAAGGAATGGAGTTTCTAGCTTCCAAAAATGTAAGTTGGAAGGAAAACCTGTTTTTGTTTGTTTTTGCCCGCAGATCTCCCAGCGTCACACAATCCCTGCTCCCAAAGGCACTAATGTCAGGTTGTGGATTTTGTAAACTATTCTATATGGCAATTGCTGTAATGGCCAAGGGGGTGCCCGAGGAAACCAGCGGTTGTATGATAAGCAGTCCTGTGAAGGCTGCAGAGCCCACTCAGGAGAGCGGCCAAAGGCTGAATATAGTAGCAGCAAAGTTAGTGCTGGAATTACCGGGCAGGGACATGTTGTAGCCAGAAGCTGTTCATTCAGCTTCATAGTTATTATCCTTAAATATCCAGTGGTCACAGAAATCCCTCCAACTGGCATGTTTACATAAAGATTATGCTCTATAAAGTGAATTGAAATGGCATTAAAAAGTGAACTTGGCTGAAATGAAATACAGAAATTGTAGCCGCGGGGGCAGACTGTGTGAGACTTGACGAGAACAACCGCTTCATTCAAATAACAGATTCTCATCTTTTTTTTTTCTTTTTTTTTTTTTACAGTGCGTGCACAGAGACCTTGCAGCCAGGAACGTCCTCCTCTCTCAAGGCAAGATAGTGAAGATCTGTGACTTTGGGTTGGCCAGAGATATCATGCATGACAACAACTATGTCTCCAAAGGGAGTGTAAGTGTCCACTCGCAACCCTTAATCTTTCTGAGGTTGTAATGTAATTTCGCACAAGGGCTCTCAGAGTATGGTCAACCATTTCCTCTCTTTCATTTTAGACTTTTCTGCCTGTAAAGTGGATGGCACCAGAAAGTATTTTTGACAACCTGTACACCACCCTCAGTGATGTTTGGTCATATGGCATTCTCCTCTGGGAAATATTCTCCTTAGGTGAGGCTCAGTTAAAGATACTATACTATTTTCATGGGCATGTTTCTTTTTCTACAAATGGGGGGTTTCCATTGTAATTTTAGATGCTGTGTATTTTCTTATTCTGTCCAGGAGAGATAGATATTTATTCTTTCTTTCATTAGAGGCAATAACTTCAAAAGATAAACTTTGAGATAAACTTTATACAACGTCAAATAAAGAAATTCCTGAGGTAGGAGCTGAAAAAGTAATAAAACGAAAATCATTTCTTCTTCTTAAGGCGGCACCCCGTATCCAGGGATGGTGGTGGACTCCAGTTTCTACAACAAGATCAAGAGTGGTTATAGAATGTCTAAACCAGAGCATGCACCACATGATGTGTACGTGAGCACGCACAATGTTTATACTGTTGTCATGTATTCATTTTAAGCCCGGCTCACGTGGCGTATATTTTACAATGCATGGGGCTGTTTATTTCTGAGCTGGCATCAGTCACTGCAAAATTACTAGGCGCGGGACAGGCTGTGCAGTTTTTTTCTACGGCGGTGGTTCACGCGCTTGCATTTTCAGGTACGAGATGATGATGAAGTGCTGGAACAGTGAGCCTGAGAAAAGGCCTTCTTTCATGGGCCTGAGTGAGAATGTGGCGTCTTTGCTGCCCTGCAGCTACAAGAGGGTGAGTCTCAACTTGTGACCTCTTTGCGTCATCAGACCTTTGTGGACGCTCAACACCTGCTTTCTAAATTTACCACCACCCATTCTTCCCTTGCACATTCTGTTCCCCCTGCAATTTTTTTTTCCTTTTGTGGCTTTTTATTGGCTACATAGAGATCATTTGCCAGGCAAAGTACGGGTTGAAAATCCTTTAAAAACACCATTAAAGTGGCTGGCGGTTCATTTAAAAGCCCCTTCCACATCCTCTGTGAGTGCGCTTGGAGAGTTTTTTTTGGAAGTTCTCTCTGTCTATGTGTAAAAAGTGATTAGACTAAATGCTGCAGCTGGATGTCAGAATGCCTGGCCTCAGTCTTGATAATGACACAGCCCGAGTTCTCGCCTCCACCGCCCAGCCTTAATTACCCAATTAAACTCCACGGCACACATTGCACATCAGAGCAGCTGTAGCTCTGCCTTCGTCACAATATTTAATGATTGGTGGCAGAGAGGAACCAGCTCTTGTTTTAGCTTGGGTGGGAAGGTGTGATTTTCAGTTTGGATCACCCTGTCCAGCTGGTGACAAAACTAATAACTACACACGCTCACAACAAAACCCTCCCCTCTGTGAACATTTGGACTCATATTTGAACACACTTAAGTGCATCAATATTGCTTCTTTGGAGCAAAAGATGAATGTGCCTTTTTTTTTTCCTGAGTCCTAATGTGGGGGTCTGTCCTTTGCAGCATTATGAAAAGGTGAACCACGAGTTTCTGAAGAGCGACCATCCCGCTGTGACTCGGGTGTGCGTGGAAAATGACGCCGACTACATCGACATTCCGTACAAGAACCAGGGAAAGTTGAAGGACAGGGAAAGCGGCTTCGATGAGCAGCGGCTGAGCTCGGACAGCGGCTATATCATCCCGCTCCCCGACCTGGATCCCATATCCGATGAGGAATACGGAAAGAGGAACAGACACAGGTAAATAAACCCCGTTTCTGATGTCAATGTATGATATCGCGCCGACGATGACATTAACCGGCGTTATTCTGTGCTCTTGCAGCTCGCAAACCTCTGACGAGAGTGCCATCGAGACCGGGTCCAGCAGCTCCACCTATGCCAAGCGGGAGGGTGAAACCCTCGAGGACATCACGTTGCTGGACGAAATGTGTCTGGACTGTAGCGACTTGGTGGAGGACAGTTTTCTGTGACAGCTGCTCGTTTTGAGCGGGAGCCACAAAGGAAGGGGCCGTATGAACACGGGGAAACTAGAGAAAGACATGGAAATCAACCAAAGACTCTCCCCCCCCCACACACACTGCTCCCGCCCCTCTCTTGCTGGGACACATCAAAACCACTTCACGGCCCGGTCGAGTCTGTGGTGAGGTGGGGAACGGACATCACTTCTCCCTGGACAGTCCCTTTCCTAAGGGTTGGAGGAGCGCGCGGACATTGTCGAAAATGTGACTCGCAGAAAGGACTCCAAGAATGGCAGGAGACTTCGCACCAGAGCTAGCCGGAAAGGAACAGAAAAAAGATTGTCTGTCATTAGCAGAGCTTTATCCTATTGGGCATTCTTTTACACAGTGGTATAAGCAAGATAGGACAACTTACAGACTCCGTTAATCAAATTCAAATAAGCAAAAACAGGATATCACCCATATGTCAGTTCATATATTTAACCACTACGGATGCACTTCTTTAACTAGATAAATCCTAAATGTGGAACTGGTGTAAGAAAAAGACCTGATGCTGGTACAATCAGAAGCAATACTTCGTGTTTAAGCACAAAATTTGGACTATGTGCATTTCTTAATGATCATATAATGTCCTTAATCATCAACTAAATGAGGTATTTCAATTCTATTTTTGTATGACATCATCATATGAACTTGTATTATTTGTGAACGCAGAGTAGATGCTGACTTTAAGTGTTTGAATGGTTCTGAGAGGAGAGCTTCTGAATTGCATACATGATTTCATTGTCCCTCCTTTTCCCCAGAAACAAATGTTCAAGTCTTTGCATTTGATCCCCGATTTGGACTTGATGATATGAATTGTGATTGTAATGTAAATAGCTGCAGAGTTGTTTAATAAGAGAAAATTATTGGGATAGTACTCCAGTATTTTATGTGAGCACCTATACGCTTCTGCATCCTTATCTGCTCATATGAACCCATTGCTTTAGACAAATCTATTACAATAAACTTCCTCAAACCAGCATGAGAAAAACCATAATGTTTGTGTTTTAGAACATTTTTCATGTATTGCTGTTTTTTCCACCTGTTGGGCATGTTACTGTGTAGTATAGACCAACAACTACAGGACGTTTTAGATAAAAGGGAGCAAAGAGAAGTGGCCAAACAGGTATTTTTATAATTTAACAGGTTATGTGCCATCATTTCTCATGAGGAATGAGCAGGATTTAGTCATACCAAGACACAACTGTGTGATGAATTAGCTTTGACCCTTGTTTGGTGTCGTACACATCAGTTACATATACACTCTCTGTAACCTTCTGTATATTCCTGTAGCTTTACGAGTTGTGCCTCTGCCTCCTATTGACTGTGATGTAAACTGCACTTTTGTTTTCTCCCCGTTTGTCTCTGTTTTTCCAGATATTACAGAAAAATTAACCAGGCTGAGCTTATTTGTCCACAGATCTTTAAAGCTGCATGGGTGTGAATGTTTGTTTTTTCTTGCAGTAGATGAAAGATGTGTTGCTGATAGTACCCTGTCTTAGGTATAGATACTCTCCCAGTATGAAGCTTTAATATCATGTTTCTTTATTTTACATCATGTACATTCAGATGATTTATATTTCAATAAATGATTTATAATATAAAAATCGTCAGCCATGTTGCCTCATGTAAGACCTGAACAGGTGTGAGTGCAGAAAAGAGGGATTGGTGGATAGACACATAGATGGATGGATGGATGGATGGATGGATGGATGGATGGATGGATGGAT